GGGGGGGGGGGGGGGGGGGGGCAATGACCTCCTCCTGTCTGTACCCCCTTATTATGTTCGTAAGGCTGTTTCTGGGGCTCCCTCACCTGAAAGCGGATCCTCTGCCCGGGGAGGAAGTTGTTGAGCACCAGCTGGTGCCCACGCTGCCACTTGAAGAACAGGCGTCTGGCGCTGCTGTCAGGGAGACAGGCCTTGTGATCCCTCATCAGGTCCCTGCTGACAAACCTGCAGTGGTTTCCTGAGTGCAAAGCCGCATACAGCAGAAACGGGTCGTCTTCCGAGCTGTCCCCGGCCAAAGACAGAATCAACAAAGCACTATGGTGAGCTCCAGCTGTCCGCGGCTTTATTTCTTTTGGGAGATACGAGACTGGCGATGCATTTTGTTCATCTTGTAAAACTGCAGGAAACGTGCATTGCAAATAAGTATTTTTACATCACATTCACACCTTTTTGTATCAAGGATAAAAAATGCTGTTACCCCATATATGCAACTCTTACAAAGTAACACCAACTTTTTCACATACAGTACTTAAAGAGTTTCAACACGTGAAACTGTTTGATTAAGCCTCTCCTATCGCAGCTCCATGTGGTGCCAGATGTACAAACAATCCATCTGCAGTTGAATTTTAATTGCCCAACTGACAGCCAGCAGGAAAAAAAAACAAATGACATAAAGAAAGATTCTTTTTTCCCCAAAAAGAACAGAGATTACTTTTCACATTATGTAATGAAGAGTTCAGTTTGCATTTCTGGGTGCCATAATGAAACGTGGTTATATATGTTAGATAATATATGCAAGGTAGAACTTTGTGCTGGACTGTTTTGCAATATGAACATGTATTGGCGTCACCTGAAGGCAGACCAGAGCTCATATCTGCACAGCTCAGGGATGTGTCAGTCGATAGCACACACCATATCCTCAGACATTCAAAGAAATCGTCGAGATAAAGATAAAGGCTTCGGAGCTGCGCTGACTCAGCGCTGCTCAGACTCACATGTTTTCGGTGAAGAAGCAGTCTGCCTTCTGCTGAATGAGGACCATGTGGCTCCTGTCCCAGCTGCGGGAGTTCTTCAGCATGTGCTTGCGCCCCAGGACGAGCACCCGGAGGCCCTGCGAGGCCAGTTCGGACACCACTGCCAGCAGCTGTAAGGGCATGGACAGACCAGCTGACTCCGGGAAACAACCAGCTCTTTCTCAGCTCTTACCCTGCCTGGCAAAGACCAGCAAGGCTGGTTCCCAGACTTAGTTGAAGAGGAAGTGGACAGAATAAGACGACTGTCCTACTGTATATTCAGGAAATCAGTATTCAATACCCAAACAAAAGAAATTTCAGAAGTAAATATTGTATGATGGTTCTTTAAGGACTACACAAGGATTCATGAAAGAAATGTGGGGAGCTAAGGATGTCAAGCTTGTTTTTCTAATACTCCAGGTACTGTTTTTAGACTTGAGTAATTTGGGGAGAAAAACAGCACTGAGTTCACCACCCTTTTGCATGTTACAAATTGATTTAATTTTGTGATTTTGTTTTTCATCAACGTGCAGTGTCTTTTTCTCACTGCCTAAAAATTTACACGTGCTTTTTGTGGATCACACAAAGCTAGTGTTAAAAAAGATTCAGGCTTTAGTTACATATTCATACTATAACTGCATCAATCTGTAATGCAAAATACCACTGGCGTAGGATGTTAATGTAGTAGTTTATATACATAACCTTTTGATCTGACTTTAAACGCGACCTGAATTAAACGTTCCGAAGATGAAAATCATCATCTTGGTCTCTTGGTTCTACCACTCTCCATGCTTGGGAAATGTTTATTTCTGTACTCTTCCTCCTACCCCCTCTCCTTGTATAGCCCACGCATTCTTTAACAGTAACAGGGGGATTTCCTGCTGGCCAGGAAGTGGGCAAAGAGTGTCTCGACTAACTATGACTAGACTAAGGCCAGGGAAGACAAAGGAGTCATAAAGGAAGCTGATTACTGCAGCAAGTGGCTTTTTTCCCTTCCTTTTACTGAGCATACCACTCCTTCCGGAGCTTCTGGGTTATACATCTATACCAATGGGATGCTGAAAAGGAGCAATTTATCAATGAAAAAAAGTAATCTTCAATCCTTCACAAGTCAAGGGCTAGGCTTCACGGGAAAGTTTTGTACGCACAAAAAACTCTTCACTTCGTCACCAAGCAAGTTAATTTTAACATGCCATATCTGTACATGAATGACAAAGCAGACTAGAGTATAGTTCCTGGTCCATGCACATCTCCTAGAATATTTAGCACAATGAAGTGTTATAATGTCCCCAACTCTGAGAGCCTCTGATTTTTGCAGCTAATGTGAACAAGCTTATTTCTTATCAGCAAAAAATATATTTTTAATTATTAATGCACCTCATCATTTATAGGAGGTATATGCAGTGACTAGACAAGCACATTCTGAATCCCTAAATCCATCTGCTTGAACTATTCTAACTATCATATGACGAAGATGCAAGTAGATCTATCCAGGATCTATCCTCTACGAAAGCAGCGTTACGGACAGGCTACTATTTTACAACCTAATTTTTTTAAACCAAGTTTTTAAGATAAATCCTTCTTCACAAGGGACTTGTGAAGGATTGAAGATCCTGTTTTTATCATCTTATTGCCTTTTTCAGCTTGATGGTTCCTGAGTGCCCCAGCTGTTCTCTTCCCAGATGTCTGTGTGCTGACTTGTCTGTGTGCATGTAACTCTTCATGTCATGTCGTTTGCCAAACCACTTTATGCCACAAGGTGTCGCGGGACGCCGAAGCCTACCGGGCCAGCAATGGGCGCAAGGCAGGGTACACCCTGGACAGGACACCAGTCCATCGCAGGACAAGTGCAAGACAATCACACATGGGGACAATTTGGAGGCCACGGTAAAGGCCGAGGGTAGAAATCTGGCCTGGACACCGGGATAACTCCCTACTCCAATGGAGAAATGCCCAGGGATTTTTAATGACCACTGAGAGTCAGGACCTCGGTTTAACGTCTCATCCGAAAGACAGCACCCACTACAGTAGAGTGTCCCCACCACTATACTGGGGCATTAGGACCCACAGAGACCGCAGGATGGGTGCCTCCTACTGGTCCCACTAACACCACTCACAGCAGCAACCATAGCTTCCCAGGAGGCCTCCCATCCAGGTACTGGACAGGCTCAACCCTGCTGAGCTTCAGTGGGTAGCCACTCGAGAGCTGCAGGGTGATATGGTTGCTGGCACTGTAACTCTACCCTTTATGCCTTCACACAATGTCATTGTCCTACTTGGCTAGTTTATTACAGTTCAAACGGAATACTCTGCGTTATTAGGAAGTCCGAAAAAAATCTTCTATAAAATGTGAAAAGTCAGCAGGATGAGGAAATACAAATCAACGAGCTTTTTTACCCTTGCTACCAGTATGAGAAAATGCTGGCAGCCAGTCTTTTCCTCCCCGGATTTCGGAATGTTAGGTTTCATTTCGGGACTGTACCGTATGCTCATCACCACTGACTCAGGTCACACATTCCACAGGCATGACCAGACACATCACTCAGAACGAGATTTTTCATGAGCATCAGCCCACTTAACAAGTCAAACAGGAATCTGCTTATAGGCTAATCATTAGTAAGTCACACATTCCATTGATTTGAGACAGAAACGCTCTAAAATAGGGTAAAATACAAGCCCAGCCTTTTGTGAAAAAACATAATAAAGGCATTTCACTTTTTGGGGGATCTTATATTTAACCAGATAAGTCAAATGAGAACAAATTGTCATTTACAGTACAAGGATGACCTGGAGACCCATTTACAGGGCAGGATGCTGATTAGATTAACCTGAATGATGTGCCCATGTGCAGGGGTACACTAGCAGCTTCTGAAATGGAATTTGAAGCCACAACCCTCCAATGAGCATTTTAGAGACTTATAACCAATCCTGCAAACTGCTGTCTCTGTTTTATTGTAAATAATATATTTTAATTAACAAACTAATAGTAAATTACAAATAAAGTTTCAGCATTCCCTGAAAAATAGTTTAACGTTTAGTTCAATTTTTTCCCCCAATTATAAATAGCATTGTAGGTATAATAGATGGACACTTACAACACATCACAAAGAGTTAGCAAATATTATTTACGGTTCCCTACAGAGAGACTTTGCATATTAAGTATGCCATTTCAGAGCAAGTTCTTTAAAACAGCAATTTTTAAATGAGGCAGTATCAGTAACATCTTAATTTGTAAAGACTTTCTTCATTGAACATTCTGACTAAGAAAGACTGACTTATCAGGTAAGTCTGACTAACTTATACTGTTAAGAGTAATGTTGCTTTGCCATGTTGCACAGAAATATTAAAACTGGCTCTCAGATGTTAGAACTGCAGTGTCAGAAAACAAAATATACTCTCAATGAGCTAAACAGTTCCTTATTAGACAACAGAATTATTGTTTTTCTCTCTATATTGTGCGCTCACACAAAGGTGGCTAAACAATATATCACATGGCTGGTTCCAAAGAGTAAAAATATTTTTTTTTACATTTCATTCTTAATTTCAGTTTCTATATTTTAAGGAAGTTGTGAACAGACTGAGCATGTCAAATTGTCCACCTTGGAAACCACTACTATCCCGTGTTATCCAGCACTGTCTTGTGAAAGAGCTAAACTTTCCCCTACTGGACTCTGAAATGATTATACCAGGGCTGTCTTTACTGCCACACAACCTTGTGAGGGTTCTTTGGAATACAACTCCTGGCAAGCATTCTGCTGAAAAATTCCCCTGTTATCTAATTCCATCTCATGGAGTTACGGAAGAGTTCAGGGTTAGTACTCTTCCACACAGTGCAATCTGACTCATTCATCACAGGAGGCTGAATGTGTTATGAATCATAACATTACAGATACAATGCATGGCCTGCCAAAAACTACAGGGCCCTCAAAAAGTATTGGGGCAGCAAAGCAGAAACTGTTTTGCTTTATAGTCAGCCAATTTGTGATATTTATGCCAGTATGATGGCCTGGACATACATGGCACCTTTGGAACTGACTCAGTATCTTTATAGATGATGTACCCAATAATGGCACCAGGAGAGTGAATTGTGAGGCTTACAGGTGCATTTCATCTGCTGATGAAGGAGAAAATGCTGCCGTACTTCCTGGATGGCACTTCACCAAGTAGCACGACAATGACCCAACGCATATGGCAAACACAAGCGTCAGGAGAAAAGAACCCGGAAAAATCCTAGCCTGGCCGAGCTCATCGCCGGATCTAAATCCGACTGAGTGGGCAATTTACAGTATATGCTGGAGAAAAACAATGAAGGCAGAACACCAGGAAAGAAATCAAGGCTTGGCAAAGCCTCTCGGATGGTCACACAAAGGGCTTGGTGACCTCAGTGGGCCGCAGACGTCACGCAGTTGTCGTCTCAAAGGGATGTGTAACTAAACACATTCAGCAACAGTTTGAAAATGACTTAAAGTAAATGTGTCCCAATACTTACAGCCGCTTGAAATTACTGGGATGAAGTGGGCTTGATTACTTATGTGATTTAATGCATGAAGCTTCCCAAGAATTAGATACATATTACGTTGTAACTGTCATTCATATTAATCTACTGAATACGCATACAGTACCAACGCTTGACTGTAAAGCAAGAATTCCTGCAGGCTTTGCTGCCCTAGTTCAGGGCCCTGTGTGTGGCATAGCTCTGCAGCTCTCTCTCCTTCTCTGCCCCGCGTGCGTGGTGCCTGTCCCATTTAGGAATCCAGCTGACAGACAAGACAATGGAAACAGCTGTAGGTGAGCAGGGCTGAGCCTGAACTACGGAGGTCAAGTCCAGCAGCAGACAAGGCAACAACACAGGACGGACGCCTTCGCTGAGTCCACAGGTGGCCCATCCCACCCTGAGATGAAATCAGCCATCTGTTATCTTGCCAAAGTACAGCCTTTCAGTTTTACATCTGGGTATTTTTCATTTGATTAACACATTCACAAAAAACAGGAGTGCTCAGTTTCCGTATCAGCAGGTCTAGATTAACGGACAATCATTCTTTCATTCAAACAGTAGAACCTCTGTAGTTTTTTTTAACTGAGTTCTAAGAGGTGATTTGGCTGATTCCCAGCAGTCTGCTGGTGTGAGAAA